GCCGAGCAGATAGAGGGAAAGAGGGGGGGAGCGTTTAAGATATCAAACTTATCACCTATTGGAAATTTCTCGCCTATTGTTTGTGAGTTCTTCGCTAACGTGAAGGAACCCGTGGATGACAAGGTTTTCATGTGAGGGAACTAGGTGTCCTACAATCCCAACACAATAAATGCCTATCTGAACGTCCCCCATGTGCCACTATGCTGGTATTCACACTTCTTGGACCCAAATTACGATGAAATTTGTAATTTTCTCTCGAACGGCCGAGTCTAGTTGCAAAAGCGGGAAGAGAAAATTATAAATTTCTTGAGCTCTTCCATGGATAAGGAGTCCAAAGACTGGCACAACTTTATTTGTGTAAGGATCATGCCCATCACAAACCTCACAGCAGTAACCAAGTATTAGGCCACTCTTAACTACTATATTCAGAAGGACACACCAATTGATATTGGCTCGCTCTTCACTTCCTTCCTGGGTCATATCATCAATGGCGTCACTATTGTAGGACTGGTTCTCCCACACCTAGTCACCGATCTGTGCAACTTTTTTGATGTACCAAGTGGGCGAGGTGAGGAGCTCCTACAAGCTTCTAGGGCTATCACCGCTAGATCATTTGGTCTTACGAGCATACTCTGTTATGAAGAGACAGTTCTGAGAGTCAGGGAGGTAGTGCGTCGAGAAGAGAGGAGACACCATCACGGCCTAAGACGATATGCCAGCGTGCCCAGCAGATTGAGGAGATGACATTTGAACTCATTGGGCTTAGTTACAATGTACACTAGACCAATAGGCAGGCTATCTACCACACCGAGCAGTCGTGGTGGCACTATGAGTAACCGGTAGCAATACAGCGCAGTGTAGACCTAGATGTATCGGCGACAGGGATGGTTCGCTGGACCAGAGCCCTTAGAGTTCCCAGCACCATCATCGTACGATCCATATCAGTCTCAGGCTAATATGATGGATGACGACGAGGATGAGTGGTGGGTTGCTACTTGGTCATGGAGATTCGATAGGGTGGAGTGTTGCTTTTGATTTTGAGATTGTGTAGTTCTTATGACAGACTTTGAGGTGTAGTACTTTATCGCATTTGATTATGTGATTGCACCAGCGGTTGCATATATCTTGATTGTTCTTCATTTGACAATACTGTTGACTTGTTTTTTCCTATTTTTTTTTATATACCTTGCAAGCATGTTATTTGGTTCCATACTATTTTTTGCTACAAATTGTTGGGATTAACCTCTCATTGTTGTTTTGATGTTCTACTGAGACGAGTTGGCATAGAGTTGTAAACAGGTATGACATGAAGCAAGTTTGGGCGAAGGAATTCACACCATTAGTTGCCCTTAAATAATTTTAGAACTTGCTCAAATTTCAATTGTTGCCCAATTTTACGAGTTTTAATCCTTTATTGATGAAAAACAAGATTGTATTAAGGCATTGTGAAATTCACTAAAAAGTTAGGATAGATGTGTATAATACCAGCTTTTTGCCTAAAGTGATTTCTTTTTATCAAAACATAGAAATCTCTAAGCATTTAAACAGGTAGGACTATGAAGCTTATTGCCAGTCATTAGAATTTTTTAAAACCTTAGGGATGAACCTTAAATTGACATAATTCATTTAAGAACCAAAGAGCGAATTTAGGGGTAGGGAAAAAAGCTGATTAAGGATGGAATAGGAAGCCTAAAGTTTAAAAGAAACTAAAGAAAGGAATAAATAATGTGTTGCTTAACCAGATATAGTAATTCTCTTATGCCTAAAAAAATGGGAAAAAAAAAATATTGAAAAGAGCCTGGAGATGAAGCTTGAGGTTAGCATTATCATAGTCAAAAGTGGGTCTTCTAATCTTTAGCCCAAGGTCAAATGTGTACTTACATTATTGGTACATTCTTTGGAACTTTTTAAATGCATGAAGAATTAAGGGAGAATCCATGGTTAAAATAAGAAGTAAATGTTTAAAACATTTTTGGAAAAGTAAGAGGGATTGTAATCTCACCAATTTAAATAATTTAGAATTCTTAAGTTTGGAAAATGGGTAAAACATGATGGTTATATAGTGTGATTATGCAAGAAAATCCTCCCTTGGTTTTGGAAATCATAATACCTTAATAAAAATGTCTTTTTTATTCATAGCCTAAGAGACTCATAAAATGAATGCAACCCTGTTGTTTTAAATTTGAGTTAAGTCAAATGGATTACTTGAGGGCAAGTAATAGGTAAGTTTGGGGGATTTGATATAAGCTGAATATTTGATATTTCTATGACACTTTTCCCTGTGTTTTTACTTCTTTCCTACTTTTTTGTCTTAGTTGTGCAGGAGATAGGATGAATGTGAAATTAGAGCAAAAAAGAAACTGAAAATAGCACAAGATGGAGATTCTGGACCAACGAATCTGCACCGCACATACAGCACACCCGCTTTAACCAGGTGCACCAGCGCTGTGTTTAGTGCACCCGCGCCAATTGTAAAGCACTTGCGCTCTCCCAGCGCACCCGCATGCTTCTCTCTGAACAAGGCACGACGCACCCATTCCGTAGACACAGCGCACCCGTGCTAGACTAGCGTGTTCGCGCTGAAATTGCGGTGCACCTGCGCCCAACCCGCTAAAACTTATTTGGCAAGAATTTTCTTGTTTTTTGTTGAGCCTTGTCTTTTTATTTGCACTTGAGGACGAATTCAGGGTATCTTGGACGGCTGAAGGCTGGAAGAAATGAGAGATTTTGATTAGAAAAAGTTCTCTCCTTAGATTTAGCTCCTTTTGGATTGAAACCTCATGCGGTGATTTTTCACTTTGAGCTCTTGTGAGTTCTTAAGAGACTTGTTGTATGAGAGGGAGATGTGTTGCTTTTATGAAAAAAAGCTTTTATTGTAAGTTTACTTTCGTTTACCTCTTGCAATGAAGATCTGCATAGATTTCTTGTCTGTAGTTTTTGTGAACATGTATGGCTAAACTCTTTTTTCATGTCTTTGTGATGTAGGGATAGTGGTTTTCATCGTAGTTATCTGAGATATTTTTCCTGTAACATTTTTTTATATTTTTATGGCCTATATTATTGGTTAACCTATAAACTTAATTTACTCCTAGTCTGTTCAACTATGATGTTAAAATTTTTCGTGAAGCTTCTACTTCTAACCTTTGTGTAGTGGAAACGAAGAGTTAACCATAGAATGCCGAGACTAGATATATTTCAGTGGAATTCTGCAATCATTCGTGGGGATCAGAATAGTTATGCAGAATGCCATGAGGATTGAAAAAACCTAACTTTTATGGATTCTAGGCTTCTTTTGACCTAGACATAGGCATAAGGAGTAACATATCCCCGATTAACAACAATCACGTAGGGAAACATTTAGAAAAACCACAAGCAACACGATCCCCTACTCACAAAGAGACGAGCCTCGTCCATCTTGAAAGAACTCTCGATATTTTTTTTGCCTTTACTATTTCTTCTGCCTGCGATCTATTCTGTTTTTAATAGGATTAGGATTTAAAACCTTATTTGTGAAACCACCAAGCTAGGTTCACCAGATTCGTAAACTAAAAATTTTTCTATTGAAGTTATTATTACACTTTTCCTATGGGATCGATATGCGGTGCTCCTTAACCGCAATATTACTTGACAGGTATACTTGCGTTGTGCGACCGACTTACTTCGTTGTAATTTTTTACGTGTCAGTAAACCTTTCCTCAAAGTCTGCTGCTACCGCTAACCCCCTCCACTTCTTTCTGCTGTTGTTGAGGACCTCCCCCGCACCCATTGTGGGATTTTTTTGCTGTACCACAACCCCAATACCGCCCTGTTTCCAGCCCTCCAGCTATACCACCCAACATTCCCCTCAACCCCACTCTTTATTCTCTTGCTACCCACATCCTGTCGTAACTCCATTTGGCTGCACCACAATTCCCCTTTCCAGCTCTCACCTCTCACCTCTCACCTCTCAAATATTCTTTAGCGGTTTGAAAAGTCAATTTATGGGAAATACTCCTCACTTACACTTACCCGTTGTTGAGACGCCTGTTCAAGGCGTGCTCTTTTTTCTTATTTCTCTTCTTTTCATCTTGTGAGACAAAATGATGTGAATTGGGCTGGTTGTCCTAATACTTGATGCTTAATTACAATTTCATGTTGTTTCTTGGTGATAACTTGATCTTCCGGAAATTTTAGAAAGCAGCCTTTTATGTCTAAAAAATCTATTGAGTTTGAATCATATTATATTTGGTTTTGTGGCTTTTATTTGAACTCATCTTTCCTCAAAGCAATCCTACTCTACATGGTAATTATAACAATGCTATCCACATATTGCTACCAATCCAGTTTGTTATAATCACTTAAAATACATTGAAGAGGACTATCAATCAATACAAGAAACCTTAGACACTGAAATCATTTATCTTACTCATATCTCTACAAACTTTTAGATTAATGTCATATTTACAAAGTGACAAAGTAGATATTAGTTTCTTGTGAGCAAATTGATGCTTCATGATAAATGAATGTGAATTTATTTGAGAGAAAATGAAAATATCACATGCATTAAATTAGGCATTTATTATAAATCATGGATATAAGTCTGTGTAGTAAATTATTATAACTGTAAATATTCATCGAAGTTTATTTTGTTTTAATGGAATAAATTAGATAGAGCAAATCATTCAATCAATGCCTTATATGTTTACCTATTCTATATAATGAGTAGAACTCTCTAGTGTTGGACAATTACTTGTATACGAATTTCTTTGTTCCTGTTTTTTCTCCTTAATAAAAAAACTTATAAAAAATAACTTGCCTACCTTGTATTTCATCTATGCTTCTAGGCTTGTTTCAATGCTTGCTGTTTCATATATGGAGATTCTCATACTTCCTTAGCTGTCTTAAACTCTCTTATATCTTGCTTACTTGGTTGAGCGTACCAATATCTAAGAATTAATAGACAAGCTTCTTTTGATGATGGAAATATATAGTTTGATTACTTGATTATTTGCTTGACACAGGTACTTCTTAGATGATTTTGGCTCTGGATCTCATGTACATTTAAGCTTGTGGAAAGATGGAAGAAATGTTTTTATGGGATCAGAGGATTCAAAAACTCCACATGGCATATCTGAAATTGGAGAAAAATTCATGGCTGGTGTTTTTCACCATCTTCCATCCATTTTTGCTTTTACTGCTCCGCTTCCTAATAGGTTTTGGCTATTTTTCCATGCGGATGATTGCTTGCAAAATATCTTGTTTTTTAAATTATTAGAGTTTCCTTTTTTCATGCAGACAACTACTTCAAATATGATTTTTTTTAATTTATTTGAGAAAATTTCTTATTTCATGATGGTGCATGTAAAGTGGTTGCATTAATGTTCACTAGTTTGCTGTTTAACCAACCATAGATACATTGCAATGTACGTTTCCATTATTTTGTATATCATTATACGTTAATGAAATGTGCGCTATATGTTTTTGAGTTGCTTATTTCCTATTGATTTAAGGGTGATTCCTATCGCAGTGGTTTGGTTGCTATCTTTTGCGATAGGGAGAGCTTGTGTAGGAATGCAGAAATACCCTAGGGTTGTTTTACTTTTTTTTATGAATTAACGTGGAGGTGTAAAAATTATTGTACACTGTAGTACTTTTATTGATAAGTGCCTACCTATTCATTAGTTGATAGAGGGGCATGTAAAATGCCAAAATATAGAAAGAAAAAGTGTCGGGTTCCTAAAATCATTCCGATCGAGGTATAGAAAGTTAAGTACCAGTTATTTCTATTGATTCAGAACTTTTAATAAAGAAAGAAATCCTGTGTTTGAAACAATTTTTTTTTGTATATTTCTCCAAAATATTTGTAGAAAGGATATTTCTTCAATTTCGTGTAGCAAATGGCATCTATTGTCAACTATTATTTTTCATGGAAGGAAAGGCTGCTTTGTGACGGGCATTTTGCTAAATAGATGAATACTTATAAATTATAACTAGATTCATAGATGCCGTGGATCTCAAAAATTAATCCCATGACATCTTTCCCATACCGGTGTTAATCCAAATTATAATAGAATTTGAGATTATTATTGCAGAAATTCAAATGGATACAACAAAGGCTCTTGAAAATAAGAAATAATGACTGCAAACATAACGACTATAGGACATAACAAAAATGGACACAACATATAGATACCAACTACAGCTAGGGTGAAGGTGGGGCCGGGGCAGCAGGGAGGAGGGGCTGGCTGGCTGTGAGGCTGGACCGGCTCGCTCCTGAACCGGTCAGTACAGGCATGAAGCCCTGTGTCACATTCTTTAGGGAACATCGTCATCTGCTCTTATTGGAATTACTTGGGGTTATGATAAGATTAAAAAAGGGGACGGTTGATATTCATAAAATTCCATACGTAGTTAGAACAGGGCTAGTAATGGCTATTAAGTAATAGAAATTATGCCAAAATTTATGAAATGGCCCTATTCGCAGAAATAAGGCTACTTTTAACTATAAGATGATTAGAAAACACCAAATGAACGTCATACAATCAATGTATTACAAAATTTCATTATGAAAATCTTTTATTGAGCAAAATTAAATGCTGTTTTTTTTTTCATTTTTTCTACTGCTGATTATTTAGGAGTTCATCGTTGTCATATTTATTAGCCTTATTTGAATTGTTAAAGGTTGGTGTTATGAATTCTCATTTTTCATTATTTCCTTTTGTGATGTTTGAGGTGTTAGACATTTTTCACAAATTGTTTTAAACAACTTCTGTCTGAATAACTATTTGAGGGTTTAATATAGCATTCAATGTCTTGCATTTTTTTTTCGAAACCATTCTTTAAGAAGTGATGGGGGATATGCCACTTGCCTTACCTGACTTTTTTCTCAACTTGTAAAATTACATGCCAAAAATAGAAGAAAAACATGTTATTCCATGAAATATTTAAACAGTTTATTTTCTGTTTGCGGTGATTTTGAAAGGAACATGTTTAGAAGCATGAAAACTATCTTGTTATAAGATGAGGCTTAAACTTTTATCAGCTATGGTTTTGTATCATTTTAATAAATGCTACATTGCCTATAAGCATACTTTACTTGCCACTGGATGCTATTTTGTACTATTCTTTGTGTTAGATATATCACTTTCTAAATGGGTATACTTTTTTATCACCGCGATGTGCTTCATATTACTTTTCTCCTAGTTTTATTTGATCTGACAATTTGTTTGCATATTGCATATTTTTAAGCCTTAAGGTTTGCTTCTCTTCATGGAGATTCTATTTCAAGTAATATTTATTTTAGAATAATTGTGCGATTGTATCATTTTAATAGTTATGACCGCCTTCAACCAAACACTTGGAGTGGAGCATATCATTGTTGGGGAAAGGAAAATAGAGAAGCCCCAATAAGAACTGCATCTCCGCCAGGCATATCTCAAGAAGTTGTGAGCAACTTTGAGATCAAGTCTTTTGATGGGTGTGCAAATCCACATTTAGCAATTGCTTCAATAATTGCTGCTGGGATTGATGGCCTTAGAAGAAATCATAGCTTACCAGATCCTATCGGTATGATTTTAATTTTGTATTTTTGTAGTTCCAAAGTTTTTTTATTTCATGATTTATTTGGTGCAACTTTTTTGTTGCGACTATTATTTTCATTGTTATTCCGTTGGAAGTTTTTTTTAAATGTGATGGCCAAACAGCAGTTATGCGTTAGCAAAGATTCAGCATTTTATTAAGTTCTGAAATGCTATTGTGCTTGCATCTGTAGCATTGCAGTAATGCATTTTTTGCATGTCGAGACATATACAACAAGACATGCATATGGGGATGACAGGGAGCGATTTTCCCATGAAACCTAATCCCGCGATGCGCGGGTTCGAACGGATGGAGCCAATTTGTTCGAACAAATGGAACCAATTCTGATTTAAGTATATCTTTTATTCCTTTTTATTCCTTTCCTATTACATTATTTATAATTAAGGTTTGTTGTAAGGGAACTATTTATATGTTTGTTTTTCTATTTTGACAAGACTTTTTTATTTATTTTGTGTTTTAGAGAAGGAATCTCTGATTTCTGTCCTAATAGAGTGTTGTATCATTTTCCTTTTGCGAGTGGTGTGTTTGTAGCCTGTGCATGAATAGGTGGTGAATCTTCTTGGCATCTGTGTCTCTTCGTTTCGGCACTATCTTGTTTGTTTTCAGCTGAGACAATTGTTGAGCGATATTTATTCCCGTCCAAACTCCATCAAACTCGTGTGTTCTCTTCCTCTTGTCATTTCACAAACCTGCTCCCGATAAAACTTGATTCCCGGCTACCTTCTAGTATCCCTAGAACTTCATAACTTAATACCGTCATCAAAATTTTTTTCCTTAAATCATTTTTAATGCAATTCCTAGCCCCAATCATAAAAATTTTTAAAATCCAACTTTCGTACCTCGACAAAAATTCCACCCCATTGACTTCTACCAAAACCCTAAACTTTGACTGACATTTTATTTACAACCCTACACTCATCGAAAACTTTGATTGGGAGAAAAGAACACAATATATCATATGAGAAATCTACAAAGATGTGTTTAGGAGCTATGGAAGGCAAAGGGAAATCCGTCAACTATAATAGAGGCTTGCCTCTTGTGAGGAGAAAATCCAAAGAGTCCACCCATAGCCACAATGGTAACTCACCGGGTCGAGAGGAGGAAATGAATCTTTCCCATCTCGTAGTTTCCAGTGACGAAGAATTACCACCTCGACGATTTGACATAGCATCTCAGAAGAGAATCCGAGCTTATTGTTGTTGTTGTTGTTGTTGTTATGTATGCATACATACATGTATAAATATAACACAGAATTTCCATCTTTTCCTAGTACTGCCACAAAAACAGTACATCCAATTACCATTGTTCTTGATAGCTTCAACTGTTCTACTAACTTTAACAATTAAGAAAAAACATTTCTACTTTTTCATCATCATGTTAAATGATAAGTATTACCTCAATTTGTCATGTAAAATTGATTTTATGTTAATTTTAATTTTTAAAGACTTTTCTCATTCTTCCTGTTAAATGGCATGTATTGCCTCAGTATCTCTCCTGTAAAGTCTGTTTCATATCATTATTAATTCTTAGGAAAATTTACATACATACCACACAATTCTTATGTACTTGCATATCTAACACCTAATGTTTGATATTTACCTAACACTTTAATGACCTAAACCTATGCTTGAAAAGAGTATTTCGCTTTTAAAATGATAATAATAGGGATATTTTTTATGTAATATTATTGATTTAATTGCTTTGCATGTAGATATGAAAGTTGGGTGTTAGATGTATAAATAAATAAAAATTGTATTATGTATGTAAATGCTTCTAATTTTTAAAGGGCAGTTTACTTATTCTCATATCATATTCTTAAATAATACAGATGAAAATCCATCTAGTCGTGCTTCAGAACTCAGAAGGTTGCCAAATGGGCTGCACGAATCCATTCAAGCGCTTGCTGAAGATAATGTTTTGAAAGATTTACTTGGAGAAAAGCTAACAACTGCTGTCATAGCTATCCGCAAGGTAGCCTATTATAATTAACTTGGCAACTGCTGGTATTTTTATTTCATTTCAAAAATTTTCCGATGATTTATTTTCAGTTATTTTATTCAGTGATCTATATCAGAAGAAAATGTGTCAATTCCATTAATGGACTTTGCATGCTTGGAAATACATGGAGATGAGTTATATGCACATTGAGTCGCTGTTCAAATATGATGGCCTCTCAGCGGTCTTGACTTTTTAAATATTGCATATTTTATTGTCATGGTCGCATCAATTTAATTGTTTTGCTTGATTGTCCTCCATTACTCTTTACTATTTTTTTTCTTCTTGCATCTACCTGTGCTTTTCTGGTGTTGTGTGGAAAAAGATAAAAGTCTGCCTCTGTGCTTCAGAAGAAAATAATTTTAGGTTTCTAGTAAACCAATTGGGGATTTGTAGTCATCATTACCTCCACGCTTGTTTCTTGATGGTAAAAGAGGTGACAAATGCTACCCGTAGAAGGTTTATTCATAGATGGTGAACCTCGACTAAAGCACCACATCACAATTGAAGCCAAAGCCACGTTAAATTAAAACAATATCACCATCCAGCTAAACATAAGATTGGACTTAAGATAGAGATAGTTAGAATTAACTAATGGACGTGTATGGCTTCCCGAGATTAAGCTTATCTTTAGTTCTTGTTCCTTTTGTAGAGTGATATGTGTTTTATATGGACACAAAAGAACAGGTGATGCCTCCGCCACCACCCTTCATTGTGTTTGGCAAATAGAAGGGAAAAGAGGGGTGACACTGATATTGTAGATGGTCTCCCCAGTTGGGCCACCACCACCTTGCATTGCATGAAATAGGTTGCATTTATTGGATGGTTTAGATTGTTATCTTGAAATGTGTAAATTTAGATGCACGCAAAGGGGCATACATATAAGACCCTCATGTTTGGCGCACACCTTGAGAATCATCAAGAGGGATTGCATTGGGATTTTTAAAGGTGAGAAAAATCATAGGGTTAATGGCATTTTCTTGGGTTTTCTTAAGCCAATGATAGAGTTTCCATGACTCTTGGAGCCCTTAACGTCGGTGCGTTAGATGACCTCAAACATCAAAGGCTGCTGTTTGGTTTTGGCGGTGTAGACCACCCTGGAGATGAGTTGAATTGGGGAAGTGGCCTATAATAGGAGTTCATGATTGGTTTTGAAAGCCTAAACCTGGCTCAAGGAGGACCCGACTAGGGTGAATCATTGTGAGACATCATGATTGGTTTTGCTATCGCATCCTACGCTTAGGTGTGAGCCAAATAGAGGTAGTAATTCCACTTTTAGTTACATAGACCATGCTTAGAGTGTGTTGAATTGCGAAGCAATCTGAATGGAAAATCATGATTGGTTTTAACAACTTAGGCTACATTTAGTATGACTATTTTGGGTTACTGATTTATGCTTCTCAGCTGATTCCAAGCTCATAAATGTACTGAACTGCTAAAGCACTTGAGAAATTGTGGTTAGTTTTGATAACCTACAGCAAGCTTGATTTTATCTAAATTTGGATACGGATTTAGATTATATTAACTTAGATTAAGTGAAAATGGAGCTGAATTGGGAGACAATGACAATGAGAAATCATGGTTGATTTTAATAGCTCAAACCAATCTAATTGTGAGCTAAACTAGGGAAATGAATACTCAATGTAGGTTGCTAAGGTGAAGAGCACATGGCAGAAAGAACGTTTACTATATCTATAGGGTTATTTTTAGCAAGTAAGATACTAGTTGTTTTTGATAATATAGAACAGGCTTTGATGGGTGCATAATGGGGTTGCAATCACTTCGAGACATTGGCACTGATTTTTATAACCCAAAACTAGCTCAATTTGATCTGAACTGCGGCAGGGTCAAAGAATCTGAGAGGAGTCTTTAAACTTGGTGTCATCTTTGGAGAGCTGATCCCATACTACTAGAGTTAAGAGAATGGCTATTACCTCCATGATTTATCCGTTAGCAGTGTGCCTTACAAAATGACCTATGTTTGATGCCAAAACTAGGATTGTTTCTATGCAATATTTATGTATTGGAGCTTTTGGAAGTCTTTTCATTAACTCAAAACCATTAACCATTATTTCGCCAGCACTTTCTGCAATTAGAACTTGAGAAAGCAAGTCTTTGCAGTCTCAACTATCCTCATGTTGACGGAAGGGCTATGAATGTTCAATATTTTCTCCAAGAGAAAATTATGTTTGCAATTCTCTTCGCTTGCTTTCACATATTAAAACCACATCATTCTTCTACTAATATAACAAATTCATTAAGAGTGATTACACAAATAATTTGGGTTTCATTTGGTATTTTGATTTTAAGCCCCTTCGCTTTAAAAAGCATGACACAAAATTTGGATTTATGCAAGAAGCTTGTAATGTATACTGCATGCACTTGCATCTCGTTCATGGCTTCATGATCATGCGAAGCATGATTAGAAGAAAAAGGGTGATTTCCGTGCATATCACATAATCCTTTTGTCTTTACATATCTAACTTCTAAATTTTAATATTTACTCATATAACATGTAAATGTTTTAGTACAATTTTGATATTGAAATATTATATATGTTAAAAATCAAATGTTAATTGTTAGATATGTAAATATATAAGAATTGTGTTATAAAAAAAAAAAAAAAAAGAAAAAAAAAACTCAAATTCTGTGAATTATATTTAACTCATGATTTTTCCTTGTCCTTGTCCAATGCATCAGAAATTTCGTTTTTCATTCTGTCACTATCTATCGCAAATTTCACTTAATTTTACTTTCTTTGCTAGCCAGGTTGTTGACTGGGAGTTTTAAATTTTGCAGGCCGAAATTGATTACTATGGAAAGAACAAAGAAGCATACAAACAACTCATTCACAAGTACTAAAAACTCTTCAGCATTCGACTTCTAATTCATGCAAAACAGTTGCTGTTAGTCACATACCTCATTTTCTCTTGCTTAATTTGCGTTTCAATAAGTCCGTCTCTTTTGCCATGGATGGATGGTTCGGCCTTGTCCACCCTTAAACAGTTTAATCATATGAATTGTTTTCAAATAATGTTAATGAGCACATCTCAGATGTAATGGAATTTCTTCTTAATTTTATTTGTTGTTTTTTGTAATCTCTCTCTCTCTCTCTCTCTCACACACGCGCGCGAGCAGGAGCGTGCGCGCGCACAAATACTCGCAAGAAGAAATTGTACCTTTGGGGAATATCACTGGATTGCTACTTGAAATTATGTAGTCTTAGAGTATGAATTACACACTAAACAAACGCACAAGCAGGCGCGTGCGCGCGCACAATTACTCACAAGAAGAAATTGTACCTTTGGGGAATCTGACTGGACTGCTACTTGAAATTATGTAGTCTTAGAGTATGAATTAACATGTTAGACCCATAAACTACCTTTCTAATTTTAGGCGCCTTGCTATTTATAGCTAAATATATTGTTTAATTTTTAATTTGTATTAAGCAAATTTAGTTTTCAAAATTAGGCCTTTGTTTTTTTTTTTTTTTTTTGTAAAATTTAAACGTAAAATTTGGCTTGGTTTATGAATATCTGCAAATTTATTAAGCAAATTTAGTTTTCAAAATTAGGCCTTAGTTTTTTTGGTAAAAATTTAAATGTAAAATTTGGCTTGGTTTATGAATATCTGCAAATTTTGGTCGGTCTCCAAAAAGTTGCTTGTCCATCAATTTTTGCATGAACGCCATTAAGATAGATTTCATGCCATCAAATTAATCATTTGTGGAACTTAAATCATCTTAGTGGACACTTTTGATCAATCAAGTATATTTTTCATAATCTTAGTATATATCTTAATTTTTACATCCTTTGAAATCCATCTTAACATAAAATTTTATATTTGAATCAAACAAATTAATATAGAGCTAATATTATATAAATTAATTATTATTAAATTAATAACAAATTAATTAGTTAATCACTGATTAACAAAATAATGCAGTATAATCCGTTGACCTTCGCATGCAATGGTATGATCAATTTGAAGGGTTGGAATTGAATTAGATAAATTGAGTCGCATTACTTAATTATATAAAACTAATTACCTAGGGTTTAACTAGCATCTTCCCAAAATAGTCTTTTGGGCTCTTGGGTAAGCAGTCTAATGAAAGGGATGAAAAGTAAGTGCTGTAGGTAATAATGTAAGGCAAATTCATATGTTTTAAGTTTTATTTATATAATTGTATTTAATACCTTTAATATAGTTAAATACAATCTTACTTCCCAGTTTTAAAATGAACAGCAATCTGAAGTTTGAAGATGCCCTTGGATAGGTATTTTGAGAAGGAAGACTGATGCTTTTGTGAAGAACTTGGGGTGTAGAGGAGACCAATTAAGTTACATGTAATTATAATTATTCAACTTACTTAAGCTTAAGTAGCCTCTTAATACTCATTCTCCATTTGCTCCCCGGACTATTGGATTTAAGCAAGAGAAAATTTAGAATAATCTATTCAAGGTAGAAACTTCTTTTTAGGATTATTGATATATTGAATTATTTTTAATTTAAAAATTCATAAATAGTTATAAGAATTGCGAGATGTGAGCTTGAAGCGAGGTTAGAGAATCTCGTTATGATGTTGGTCCGTCAATCTTGGTGAGATAATCAAGTACTAAATTAAGATATAAAAATTATATTGGATCATAATTTGTATTGCTTTATTTGCATTTAGTTTATTATGAATTTGACTATATTAATGGGTGATTAGAACATCTTTCATTTTATTAGTAGCTCCACAGTTAATAAAAAAATAAGCTGATGAGTGGTAATTTTATATGAGAATAGATTATAAAAGTTAAAATGATTAAGAGAATGTTAGAAGTAATGTGATAGATAGTGAAAGCCTATGCAAATATGAGGTTATATTCCTAAGATAGAGAATAATTGATAAAAATAAATATACAAGTAAATGCATATGAATGTTGCTAGTTACTATTAAACTTTATGGAAATTTACATACCTAACAGAGTTCTTTTGTATTTACAACTACGTTATTCGTACTATGTATTTTCCATCTACTTAGCTCTGATTCATGCAAATCATAAAAACTAATAGTGGAAATTGTGTTTGATTTATTTGTCCAGCTATATTGCACCATTATTATAAGGGTTTAAGTACAGTGCAACCAAAAAAAAAATGATGATCAATACAAAACTTTAGACTGGTTGGATTTGGGTAGGAAACTCGTATAACTTGAGAACGAATGAATGCGTGATATAATTATTATATGATTAATTATGTTGAATGATAAATTACACTATCATAGGCAAATATGCCCAAAAAATATCAAAATGAATTGATGTTGAGTTCTCCAAACCACATATTGATCTATAAATGCCAACAAGAAATAATCCCAATAGATGTGGGATTTAAAATATAACAAAGGAGGAAGCTCGGCCTAGTGAATTGTAGGATATTATTAAATTGACTTCTATTGAAAAATATTTTTGTGAATCAAAGCTCCTAGACGTCAACATTTTTTTTCTCTTGATCTTTTGGGGCCATCCTCGTTTTGGTAATCTTCAAAGCATAAGGATGTTAAGGAATGGAAGTTATGGAAACAAATCAGTGAACAAATAGATATTTGTTTGCCACTGAATCCGTTTTATAAAGGAGTTGATGTCGCAGTGTTGTAACAATAGCCTTTAACCTAGTGAGGCTTATGAAACTAAATATCTGTAATTACCCGTTATAGAATGTCACAAAAATTAATTAGTGAGGTGTGATAGTACTTGGTACTGGCACTACGGTGCTAGTGTGATAGTACTTGGTACTGGCACTGCGGTGTTGGTGTGATACTTGGTTAAATAGATTTAACCCATTTTATGTTATACCAGCAATTGATGATGCGTTGTGGAATCATAGGTCGGAGTGGTGGTGTTGTCTGATCATGTAAACTGCTTGGGTAAAGATAAATATACCACTCGGGTGAAGATAGATAAAAGACCTATTATCCACGATTTTCATGTGGTAACAACACCTATTACTTCGGCATGGAAGACGGTGTTATGACACCAATAAGACTCCTCATGGCACTGCAGCATTGCATTTTAAAACCACAAAACTAGACCCTTATCACAAAGGGGGGATCGAGGCATGCATTAAAGGATCAAAAGGTCTTTAGGTGTTGTCGAAAGCATTGGCATCTAAATGAGCAAAAAATGACACTAACTTCATGACTATATATTTTATATTGATAACATTAAACGTGCTACATGTTCTTGCGCTCACAACATGTTCCATTTATACCAGCACATTACCAAACGACACCCCCATTTTGGATGGGTGGTTCCTCTTTTTTGTCTAAATCATCCTATATACGGCAGTTTTGATTGTTACCTTCAATTTCATCTCAACTATCACCATTGCTATATATTTTATATTGATAACATTAAACGTGTTACATGTTCTTGCGCCCACAACATGTTCCATTTATACCAGCACATTACCAGACAGCACCCCATTTTGGATGGGTGGTTCCTCTTTTTTTGTCTAAATCATCCTATTTACGGCAGTTTTCATTGTTACCTTCAATTTCATCTCAACTATCACCATTCATGACATAAACCGATCTCATATAAAAATGAGTGAATTTTCGACACTTGATATTAAAGTTGAAGCGACTAATTGGTATTAGGGATATGAGTACTATGTTGGTGAGATAAAAAGCTTTTTATCACTTGTTTTTTGGCCTACTAGCTACGTGATGACCTAATAAAATAATGAAATGAGTCAAAAACCTATGCAAAAACAAAGTGACATTCTTGAAATAGAAAAAAAACTAATAAAAATAAAAGTATAACTAAATAACTATAGATGTTGCTAGTTACTATTTTGAATTTACTAACATGCTCATTTACATGGGTATATATAGGAAATGCATAATCTCATAATATGGGTATATATATCATCTCAAGCATAGGTAAGGTGTCATCCATGTAAAATTAAAAATTTAGGTGTTAAGATATATAAATACATAAAAATTGATTGGTTGGTAAGTAAATCTTCATTTATATATATCCTAAATGATTGATTATTAGAACCCATCAAACATGTCCAATGTGGATAGCTCAGCCTTGTTCGCTAGTGCTTGAATTCAAACAGAAGATTAAAATAGTTCCTTTTATCTGTTCATTATTAATTCGTTGAATGCTGCTGAAAACAGAAGATTTATCTGTTCATTATTAATTCGTTGAATGCTGCTGCCGTGGTCTTCTTTTGAAGTCGGGCCCAGCAACGGTGAAATAATTGCTAATATAAAATGAATTTGCGAAGAAGCAACCAAAAACGTTAAACATGCATATCGAATGGCTTTCCATCACATTTAGCTAATAGGAATGATAGACAAAACACCTGAAGATTTTTACATGGAAACCCTAAAAACGAAAAAAAACTAACTGTCTGACTTAGTTGCGGAAATCCACTATAAATTGTACATTTACTTGTCCCATGGGCCGGAAATGGTTACAAAAGTCTCTCAAGTTACAACATCGATGCAAGGAGGATCAATAGTCTGGGCTCTAATGTCTTTGGTGTCGGCACGACATTTGGGATGATGCGTAACTTCGATGCTTCGTCACAAGGAGGCGACAACGGTAGTGATCGACGACGGCCGACAAATAATGGGTGACTGTAGTTGGTAGCTACAAGAGCAAGATGAGCTCATTGGATCGTCGATGCAAGTAATGTTGGACTCTAGCTCATTCTTCAAGTTAGCCTTCTTCAGGCTTCAAACTTCAAGTCCCCTCTCGAGATAAGAGTAGGGCTCTATTTATAGAGTTTCGGTTGCATTGAAGAAATGAATTTAAGCCACTTTAATCGGAAGACCTGAAAAAAATCTCTTTATCATACAGTGTTTGTTGGATATTTGAGTGTATTATTGATGTCGGAATTGAGCGATCTTGTACTCATTGGATTCTTCTTGTCGAGACGCAAGATTCAACTATGGGTTTGTCAGATTCAAAATCCGTTTGAACTTCCAAAAATACCTGGAAAATTTTCAAAAGTAGTTTAATGGTTTGTTCTAGGCTTTATTTGACTCAAATTAGATTGATTTTGGTATTGTTTGCTCCGTCTCGTTGAGCTCATCATTTGA